GGAAGACTGACATCTTACTCTGGAGTAGAGAGAGTCCTTCTGTGCATTTGATCGTTTCTTCCTGTTTATTGTCTATATTCCCTTCTTGGTTTTCTTTTTTTATAATTTCCTTCACCTTACAATTTTGATATACACTTAAATCAAGTTTTTTCAGTTTTATTTGTTCTAGTTCATCCAGGGGGCTGGAGAGAGGGCTTAACAGTTAAGAGCCTTGGTTGCTCTTGTAGAGACCTGAATTTGATTCCCAGCACTCATATGGTGGCTCACAACTGTAACTCTAGTTATAGAGGACCTGATGACCTCTTCTGACCTCTGCAAACTTCTGCTTGCAGGTGGTACTTGCTAACTCACACAAGTGCATGTGTGCACACACAGACACACAAACAAAACAAAAAAAAAAACCAAGAAAATTTTCTTCCAGGAACTTTATCTTATTCTCTTTTTCCTTGTTCATATCATTTTTCTCTTCTTTCACTGATACCATGTATTCCTGCATATATTGAAGGCACTAATTAGAATTAATAAGAAAAACCAGCCCATTCTGCCTCAGCATTGTCTCTTGCCCTTGGATCATACTTTTGAAGTGATAATATAATTTATCATTTAAACCTAGTTCCTTTCCCAGCTCCAAACAGAGATATAGGTTTTTTTTTTTTTGTTAACTTTTTGTTCTTTGGTGGGCCTGACACCCAGCTCCCAAATAATCACACAGAGACTTATTATTACTTATAAATGATCGGCCTTAGCTTGGCTTGTTTCTAGCCAGCTTTTCTTAAATTATCCCATCTACCTTTTGCCTCTGGGCTTTTCCCTTCCCCTATTTGTATACCTTTTCTTACTTCTTACTCTGTGGCTTGCTGTGTAGCTGGGTGGCTGGCCCCTGGTGTCCTCTCTCCTTCTTTCTTTCTCACTCCTCTTTTCTTCTCCTTTCTTCTCCTATTTATTCTCTCCTGGCAGCCCTGCCTATTTCTCTCTCCTGCCTAGCTATTGGCTGTTCAGCTCTTTATTAGACCGATCAGGTGTTTTAAACAGGTAAAGTAACACAGCTGCACAGAGTCAAACAAATGCAGCATAAAATAATGCAACACATCTTTGCATCATTAATCAAATATTCCACAGCATAAACAAATGCGACACATCTTCAACTAATATTACACAACACAGAGACACTTTTGAGAATGAAAAAGGACCCTGACAATTACTTTGCAAAGATAATGTATACGAATGGCCCCATTACTCTGTTTATAAGACGCTCTCAGTCTTTGCACTTCTGACTCTGAGAAGTTGCCCTGGGCCTCCATGGGATGACCACTCTTCATTTGATTGGTTGGACTTTCTCCCGTCTTTTTTTCTAGTCATACTGACTCGTTTGGCTTTCTGCTTTACTCTCTAAGCGTTCTTCAAAATCAATGGCCCTCTCCTAGGCACATTTTTCTTCTTTTGCACATGTTTTCTGTAACTTCATTGAGACATGAGAAGCCAGCCTGGCAGAAGGCACTTGTTTGCCATCTTAAGTTGGGAGCTCCTTTACATCTTTTATTAACATGTGCTGACTTACTCCTTTTGGAGCTAGAAAAACTCGGTGATTAGTTATAGAGGTGTGGGGTGCTTCTGTAGATCCTATACCCTATGGTGACCACACCCCTCTCATTACAGAAATCATACCTGGAAAGAGCTCAGGAAACAGGAAATATTTAGGTTTCTAAATATTTAAACTTAGGAAAGATTTAGATGCAAATTATTGCATCTCAGAGAAGACATTCCTAATGGGAATTCTTATAGGGAATTTGTCTCTGGCTTCCTCTTCCAGGATGTGATTTTCCTGTCGTACACTGTAGTAATAGGTGGAAGAAAGCTAATTTTTGCAAAAATAATTCAGGCCTAGTGTAGCCAAGCTAAGAGTAGAGAATGTAAAGATTTAGAGTCCAAGCCAGGATGTTTTAGAGTTTTATGAAAAGATACCAAGATCATCTGCCAGAATTAATTAACAAAAAGTTAATTCATGAAGACAGTAATCACGAAAGATGCAGACATGAAGATTAAGACTTAATCCCAAGGATTTAAAATAAAAAAGAGGGCTCCCTGGATCTAATCAGGTCTTATGGGGCAAGAGCAACATTTGATCATTTAGGGAGAGCTGGTGGCAATCTATTAGAATATGATTATGGAGGCCAGTGAGATGACCCAGCCAGTAAAGGTGCTTGTCACACAAACCTGGTGGTCTGAATTTGATCCCTGGAACCCATGTAAAGGTGAGAGGGGAGGTTAGACTTCACAGAGTTGTCTTCCGACCTCTGCACCAGTGCTGTGGTGATACGTCTGTCTCCCCACACCATGCATCCACACACAGAGCGATAATAAAATTTCAAACAATTTAGAATGTGGCTATCTGTAGTTCTAGGTGGATAGAATTATGGTTTGTAGGGTCAAGGTTGTGGTGTTGGAATAAGTACAATTTATTGCAGAATTGTAAAATTCTACAAATCTGTGCTCCTAGATGTGAACTACACAAATGTATAATTTGAAAACGACAGTCCTTTGAATGTGTATAATCTAAGCCCAGGCCAATTAACATTTAAATCAGTATATCTGATTTTTTTATTTAGAGGTGAAGCTAATTGATAAGTCTACTGCAGCTTGTTGATGGGCCAGGTTAAATTCTGCCATTTGGAAAGAGTCCTTTGCCCACCCTTGCAATAATACCCACTACTTTTTTCTACAGAATTTTTTTTTTATTAGTTTTGGGTTAAGGTAGTGTTACACAAATTACCTTGTTATTTTAAGTCTCACTGTCCAAGTGCCATTTTGAGTTTTGACTCTTTTGTTTGTTGTGGGACAATCACGAAGAAGAAACGGTCAGGTTTTTAGAGTCAGGATTGAAGAGTTTCTTTCAAGTGATTGGTTGGTTGGAAGGCTGCTTCCCGGTGGTATCCACCTCAGGAAGGCACACTCCGTGGTTGTGAACTGATGCCACCAGTTCAGCATTGTTTTTATCAGCAGCTAGATGACTCAGGCTGGACTGCAGGAACAACCACAGAGAATCGACTTTCCAGGCAAGAGAGCCATGCAGGTGGATGTTAGGCAAACAATCCATCCCATGAATGGTAGGAATGGAGATGTAACCCAAAACACAGTTGTCATTAATTATCAGCAATCTTCAGGGTAACCTTCAGACTGAGGAGCAGTGTCTTGGTGTTTTAGTCAGTGTTCTATTGCTGTGAAGAGACATCATGACCATGGCAACTCTTATGAAAGAAAGCATTTAATTGAGACTTGTTACAGTTTCAGAGGTTTAGTCCATTACCATCATGGCAGGGAGTGTGGTGGAGAGGCAGACATGGTGCTGGAGAGTAGTGGAGAGTTCTCCATCCAGATCTGAAGGCAGAGAGACACTGGGCTTGACTTGAGCATTTGAAACCCCAAAGCCCACTCTCAGTGACATACTTCCTCCAACAAGGCCATACCTCCTAATCCCTGTCAAGTAGCATCACCCCTGATGATTAAGCATTCAAATATATGAGCCTATAGGGGCCATTCTTATTCAAATCACCACGAGTTGGGTGAGCTGTAGGAGAGTTTTTGGGGAACAGTTTTGACAATCTTTGCAGGTGATGTCTGACATGGGTGACGTTAAAGCATGCTTTTCTTCCTCTCTAGCACTCTCACCTAGTTTCGTTTCTCGAAATCACTTCTCTTTTCTGTCCTTTTGCTTAAGAACACGTCTCGTACTGCACACCTACTCATTTTACAACTCTGTCCTTTTTTTTGGAGAGAACTGTGAATCAGTTCTTGATAAATCAAAGGGCCCTCAAGTCAGATGGGTAAGTCATTTACCATGCAAGCCCACGATTGATCTCTGGCAATTACTTTGCAGAACATCCTCATAGCTTTTATTATTTGCTCTCAAACCTTTACTATTATTGCAACAGCTTTGTAGTAAGCACAAGACAGAGGCATGCCACCTTACTACAGAAGATGCATGGCCAGTGTTACTGGGCACTGTCTTCTCTTTGACAATTTTAATTTTTGTATTGTCACAAAATTTGGGCCTGTCTATTTATTAATTGTGTACACTGGTGTATGCATTTCCTTTCAGAAGAGATTAACCCACTAGCTATGTCTATTGAAGGCTCTTAATCACGTGATGTGCGTTTTAGAAATGCCACCTTTTGGTCTGTGGACATAAAGCATAAAGTCAGTGGCTTAAATGACCAATTCTATATAATTTTATTTGCCTGTGTTGTATTTTGTGGGGTTTTTTTTGTGAAAAGAAAAATCATTTTCAAGGTAAGTTTGGCTTTTAGTGGGTCTTTTTCCTTTAGAAATTACATGAAGTTAAGAGAAAGGGTCTCTGTGGAATAAACAGATGTACAAACTAGAGAAATACAGTGTTTTGTTTTATGGATTTCATTAAAGAGATATTGAAAAACATTATAGCTTTTCATTTTGAGACTGTCTTAACTTTTTAAAATGTGTGTGTGTGTGCAAGCACATGAATTGTCGTATGTGTGTGCATTCTTGAGTGTAAATGTGGGTACACAATGCCACAGTGCCCATGTAGAGGCCACAGAACAATTACATGTTGCTCTTCCTTTCACCTGTCTGAGGCAGGGTCTCTGCTGATTTTCATCTGCATGCACCAGCCAGCCTGAGAGCCTTCAGGGATTCCCTGTCTCCACCTCCATCTCCCTGGAGGAGTTTTGGGATTATAGATGCCATTGCTGCATGTCCAGTCTTCACGTGTGTTTGTGGATTCAAATTCAGGTCCTCCTGATTTTGAAGGTTCTTTTACCTGGCAAATTATTTCCCCAGTCTACTTCCCCAGCCCCACTTAGAACTTTCCAACTGGTGTTCCAACGTTTAGGTTGGACGGAAACTAACACCCTTCAATTTCAAAGAAAAGAACTCAAAATCAAAGTAGTCTCAGTGATGTTTCTTTAACAAGTTATGTTTCTGTGGGTTTAACGTTGAATTCCATATCTGATTTCTCTGTCCTTTAGAAGTCGAGCGGGTGGTGAAAGCCAATGACCGTGACTACAATGAGAAGTTCCAGTACGCGGTGAGTGAACACACAGCACAGTGTGTTGGGGGAGGGGCTTTACTCAGGGCTAGAAGAGGGATCCATGTCTTGTAGAACCTCATTATGACGAAAATCTTTCCGTGTTGGCCCACCTTAAAAACGTGGTTCCATGTGCTTTCACACATAGTCCTCTTCTGCTCTGACAGTTTGGTGGGCATGGAAGAATGATAAAATCCATTCTCAAGAATTTATGCTTACTTCATTCTGGTGTCCATTTAGTTAGTATAATATGCTGGAAAATATGAAAATGGGCTAGTAAAGTATTGTATTGATTGATGAGAAAGTGAGGTTAGTGACTGATGATTGATGGGTTGAATTTGGGTTTTTCTCTAAGTAATTTCTGGGAAATGTGGAAAAGCGTATGCAGGATGAGGTTTCTAAGTGCTGAATGACTCTGTTTACAAAGTGAATAGTGAGAACCATCAGTTCAAATGGTTCACACAGGCATTGCCCGAGGAGGGAGAGTCTTGGTCAATGAACACTTTAGTATTTTCTTCTTATTGGTGGGTCACTGGCGGAGAATATAAATGCATGTACGAACATTGCAACTCAATGCCACTGGCCACGTCCTGGGGCACCCAACAGCTCTTCTTTAATGCTGTGTTACAATCATAATCTGACTTTCTGTGTAGGTTTCGTTTCCCACACAAGGAGTCTGGATTTTGTTTCTGTCACTGCTTTCTCATTGTGAAACAATATATTGAAACTTTATTCACCTGTCTTGTAAGAATGATTAAAGCATCTTTGTCTTTGAGGGAAGGGATCCTCTTTCAAGATGATGTGCATAGTTCTTAGAACGGAAGGGAAGGGTTACCTCAGGTAATGAATGCCACTCTGTGTGGTGTGACATATGGTCACCAGCAGACTTGACCTTCACATCCCTGCTTCAGGTAATCCTGTATCTGTAGAGGATGGCTCTTTAAAACCTTGACCATAAGATCCCGGTCTGTCTGTCTGTCTCTCTGTGTAGTCCAGAGGACAATTTGGGAGAGCTGGATTTTTCTCTTTTTTTTTTTTTTTTTTTTTTTTTTTTGGTTTTTCGAGACAGGGTTTCTCTGTGTAGCTTTGCGCCTTTCCTGGAACTTACTTGGTAGTCCAGGCTGGCCTCGAACTCACAGAGATCCGCCTGGCTCTGCCTCCCGAGTGCTGGGATTAAAGGCGTGCGCCACCACCAACCGGCGGATTTTTCTCTTAAACCTAACAGAGCTGTGGGCAGGTTCCACAGTGGGTGTGGGGGTTCCAACGAGGCATGGGTGGGGTATGCTATTTGCCACAGTGGTGTGAGAGGATGCGGAGAAACTCATTAGCCTTGTGAACTGCGTACAGAAGATACCATGTGCACAATGAACCATGGGAGACCCTGAAAGTACAGAAGTCACTGATACACTGCAGGGGATGCAGTTGTGTGTGTGTGGGGGTGCCACATGACCAGAGCACCTGGGCTGTGGGAGTGGAGCTTCCTTCTTCCTTCCCAGATGAGCCAGTCTGAAAGAACGCCAACTCTTGAGATACTTACCAGCTTCCTGTTCTGTGCAAGGCACCACCAGAGGCAGGGCGCTTTCCTTCGGCCTCCCTGTGGATTGTGACAGACACACGGTTAATAGTGAGAGCAAGAAAGGCAACGACGGTAACAATGCTAGTTCAAACTCACGGTGCTTCCCAAACGCGGCGAGTTACTGTTCTGGGCATACTACTAAACTACCGTACTGACACGTGTGATCTTCCAGCACCAAGCACTTTCATTATCCCGTTTTCTGTAGGAAGACATTGAAGCATGGAATAGTCCATTTCAGTGACTTTTGCAAACTTACACAGTTAGATAAAATCCGCCAGTCCTGCTGCATGTTGGGCAATTGGCATTGTACCTCAGTCACTGGCAAAGGTTCTGGGGATTGAAGTTGGATTCATGATTAAACTCGCTTGTAGAGGCAGTACTCTACCTACTGAGCACCCCCCCTCGCTTCCCCAAATGAAAGAAACGAGGCTGTGCCACTGCACAGCAATTCACAGCAATCCACCGGAATCAAGCAATCCAAGGGCGGAAGGCTGAGATTCTACACAGTGGCCCGTTTCCACATTTATGGTTCTGTCCATGATAACTGGTCAGTCTTCTGAACGGTCCCAGAAAACAAACAAACAGAAAAACAAGTGCAATAAACTAAAACCAACCCCTCTCCCAACCAAACAGGCCCCGATCTCCCCCTCTTCTGTCATAGTCCCCTGACGCAATGGTAAGTTGTTTTTATTTTATTTTATTAAAAAGTAGGGTTGACTATTTTTTTTTTGAGACAGAGTCTCATAATGTTAACACGGGCATGTTAAAAACATGTTTTTGGAAGGTTCTGGGGATTGAAGTTGGATCCATGATTAAACTTGCTTGTAGAGACAGTACTCTACTTACTGAGCTATGTCCACAATCCGATTAGCCAAATTTTTATACTTTAAAGACAAAGGAAGATACAGGGCTATACGTTTTACAAAACAAGGCGTGGCCACATTTTAGATCTGTACGTGTGACTGGGGGAGAAAAAAAAATCATCTAAAACTCAGAAAGATGGTGCAAAGTCATGAGCATTAAGCCTGCCTAGGCAAGCTTTACTCACTGAAGGTTGAAGAATAATATTTCAACACAGCAGGAACCTTTGTTCATCAACAAACTGTAAACTACAAAGCCCATAGCAAGACACAGCCCAGGCCTAGAAAGCAATTACAAGTACCTTTGAGAGTCAGCGGTCTAGAATATGAACAAAATGACAAGGTTAATTATTCTAACTTTGATTCACTGGTAAATCAGATATGATGTCGTGAGAATGGAAAGGTGGGAAATGTAAAAATCACTTGAGAAGTTTCAGATAACCAAGAAACCCAGAACAAAGTAGGATTGGAGGGTGGAGGGGGAGAGCGCCAAGGGTGAGAATTTTTATTCTCATTGGAAGAGAGTACAAAGTGTTCTTGATTAATAACAGGAATGAATAATAGAAAGGGTGAAAACAGCTCTATTAAAATTGGTTGTCCAGCTGGCTCAGTGAGTAAAGGTGCTTGCTGCAGAGCCTGACAGTGAGTGTCACCCTGGGAGCCACATGCTGGAAGAAGAGAACTGATTTCTACAAATTATCTTCTGACTTTGACTTCTGCATGTGCATGTGCCCCTCTCTCCACAAACAAACAAACAAACAAACAAATAAATAAATAAATAAACATAATAAATATTTAAAATATGTGAATGTTAAAAATGTTCAATTGTGTAAGTTATCCAAACAGCCAGAAACTTAAAGTGGATGGTAGAAATAAAGAAAACACTTGTAGTTGTATTAAAATGTGATGTTGGGGGCTGGAGAGGTGACTCTGTGGTTAAGAGCATTTGCTGCTATTCCAGAGGACACAAGTTTAGGTCCCAGCACCCACACATAGCTCGCTAGAGCCTGTAACTCCTGCTCTAGGATATCTGCCACCAGAACCATCTGCACACAAGGCATACATTCACACACACACACACACACACACACACACACACACACAAATAATAAAAAAATAAAGTGCTGTGGTGTTTTATGTATCTCTAAAAACGTTATTTTTATTAAAATATAATAATTACACACATTAATTGCATGCAGTATGATGTTCTCATTGTGTCAATACTATACAATGATCTAATCAGTATAATCAGCATATCTGCCATCTTAAAATTTTATCATTTCTTTATGGGTCCGCTGTCATTCTCTGTGTGTGACTTAGTGCGCCTCTCCAAGTCCACATGCTGTGTCTGTGTTTCTCTGGGACCAACTGTGAACAGATACATGATCCACTGTACTCTTTTGATAGAGATAAAAATGATGCTCTAAGTTCAGTGTTCCTAGCATGCCTGCTCTCTACCTAGCAACATGTATGTTTGTTGTTTTTCCTGCTCTTCAAAGAATGTTTGAGACAGTGTCCAAACAGAACACAAAGTTCAAAGGGATTAAGAATATGTGAGGAAACTATTATTGGTGGGGTATTTTTAAGTGACCACAAAACACAAGTAGAAGGGGCCTGTCTGCTTACACGAGCAGTGTGTTCCAGGCCACTGGGGTTATCCGACAAGGGGATAACGATTCTGCTTCCCACCTTCGAAGAGCACATGCATTCTGTGCAGGAAGAGAAGACCAGCACATCAGAACAAGCTTGATAGTGAGAATGAAAAGGAGATGATAAATTTTAGTTGTGGTGCATGGCTTACAATGTCAGGGAGAGGAGAACTCAAGGTTAGTGAAAATTTTGGAGGAAGTTTTGATAGAGGAAATGGGAAATGGTCCCAGGCTTGTGTGCTTATTTGGACTGCCAGTGTTGGGAAGGACAGTGCTGAGCAAGGGTCAAGAGTGCCATGTGAAGTCACTGTGGTTCAGGTAGGTGTCATGTAGTTGCTTGAAGCAGAGTGTGATGCTAGGCATGGTGATGCATGTCTATCATCCCAGCCCTCTAGGGCTGAGGCAGGATTGCTGCAAATGCAAGGGCAGCCCCTGTGCTTTGCATATGAGTGACAGGCTCCTAGGAGCTGGGCAGACACAAAATAAAACAGGATTATAGTTGGCCTACATATTAGATAGACTGGATGAATACCCACATGGAAATGCCTGGTTAGTACTGAACAGAACCTGGTGTGGTGAGAGTTGTAGCTTTAGGAATGTCTACATAGGAGGAGGTATGCGGTGTCGAAAGAAGAGTGGACGCTGTTGGGAGGGATGGCTGACTCTGCAGTGAGGGGCAGATGAGACAGCAGAAGGAGGCAGCCTGAGAAGGGAAGGGGAGCGATGACTGAGGAGGACAGAGGGAGTGAGATGGACGCTTGGGAGCGTCTCAGGAAATGGGTGGTTAATTGGTTCGAAAGGTGGGTGCAGGGGATTGAGAACCATGAAAAAACACTGTTGATCCTAAGTAGCTTGAGACCTTGAGAAAGTGGTTTTAATCCCCCCCTTTTACAGTCCGTTAGGCTATACATGGTG